CTCCGGAACCTTGAAGGATGAAGCCCTGGCTTGACTCCCATTTTGTAGAGGACACTCTAGGCTACATACCCATGCAAGAAAATGACCGGGTTTCTATAAGACTTTCGGAAGCTCTGACCTGGTTTTTCAAAGATCTCCTGAAAAACCAGGCTGTTAAAGTTTTTTGAAACTTGCTTTTGCTTATAAAAATTTGGCTTTAAGTGTCCTCTATACGAAGGTGAAAACCGCAGGCCGCTAAGACCTTTCGTTAAAAAGTTATTTGAAAAACGACAACCGGCACGACCTTTCCGTTTCGATAGTAGTAATAGAAACATTCTATGCCATTTTTAAGAGCAAAGAAACTAGTTTCGAGCCGCCATTCGCTAATTACTTTCTAATTAATTAACTAATTAGCTAATTAGTTCTAATTAATTATAGTTTTAAAGAGCAAAGTCTTCTTCATATATTCAAATAACAAAGAGTTATCCGCAAAAATAAGAGTAGGGAGAAATTCAAAATGAATAAACGGTAGTCATGTCCACTTTACGCTGGTTGTGCCCATATACTGGAAAAGAATTTTTTCTGAAGTGATTATTTTCTACTCGTTTTGGAGGAAAGTATGCCAATCTTTTGAAAGATTTTATATTTATATTAGTTTTCAAGCAAATATATATTTATATTCCCCATCGAACGTATATACTCAGTTTTAAACTAAGAATCAGAAAAATTCAAGGTTTTATTTGCACTAAATCGCTGCAAAACTAGTCTAATTTATTTTGAAGCAGGCAGGACATTTTAATAAGTAATAATTTTAATCAGCTAAATTTTTGTGTTCTTAAAAGCAGTTTAAAAGAAAGAAATCAGATGATTCTACTAACGCGATGACCTCTATCAATCTATCTATAGTATAAAATCCCAAGCAAAAAACTTTTTTTTGGAGCTAGCTTAAGCTAGCTAAAAGGAACATTTACCTAGCTTGAGCTAGCTTATTGTTCCCTTTTAGCTAGCTTAAGCTAGCTCCAAAAAAAATTTTTTTCCTTGGGATGAGCCAAAAAAAGAATTAACTTCATTTTTGGATGGAGGACATGTTGTGTTTTCTTTATTTTTATGTTCAAGTCTCACGAGAAGATATAGTAGGTGGATGACCACCGTTCACTTTCACAAAATTCGTTTTTCTCGAAAGAGCTTATTTAAAAAAAGTGTCGATTCTTTTTCTCTGTTGCGTGCCTTCTCCGTCCTTTTTTCTCTTTCTATCGCTGTCAGGCCCTGCAACAGAGGAGAACTAAATTCAAATTTGCAAAGAATACTATAGATATTCGTAGTGATAAACAATATGCACACCATCTAGCTTGCTCAAAGGGTTTCGTCTAAATACAATATGTTATGACATAATATGATTAATATCTTCCTTTTTAAATTCATCATCATTGCGTCATTGTTTATGGCACAATAGGTGAGATTAATTTATTGACACTAGATAACCCAGCAACAATTTTTTTGTCTAGTTATTTTTATTTAGTAAAGAATTATTACTAAATATTTTTTTTTATCTAGTAAAGAATAAAACATTTAAGTCAAAAGTCACGAACATACGAACGCACGAAAACAATAAAAGATATATTATAATTTGTAAAACAATGTCTTATGCGAGCTCCAGCAGTGTTCCTGTTACCATCACAGGAGCAGTAGCACCATCACCACAAAAACAACAACAAACGATTATTTATCCTGCTTATGATGAGATACCTGCTTTTGGAAATAAAACTGCTGTTAACGTGAGTATATGCTTGAGATTTAACATAGACAATTGTTTAGTACCTGAAACCCGTAGCTCCGGTTTAAAACATGAATTGGCTTTGAAATAAAATGACATTTTTGTTTCATTATTAGGTAAATGCAGGAGACGGTAGAAAACGTAGTCATTCATTAATTGATAATTTTCATCCAGTTCGATGGATACGTTCACATACAATTACAAGAAAGTCCAAGAATGATTCACGTAATCGTGCAGCAACAATCTCATCTGAATTATCACCACCGCTTACAATAATAAAGGAACCACCTATTCGTTCAGCTCGTTCAGTAACAATTTCATCAGACCCATTAGCACCAACTCCAAGACCGGCAATAACTTTTTTTTATTAATTATGAACAATTACAATATGTCTCTCATTTGTAAACTTTCTGCTAAATTTTTCAAAAAAATCTTTGTGACTTATAAAAGAAAAATGGAGATTTTTATTTGTATCTATAAATGAAAATGTTTTTGCTATTGCTAATGCTAACGGTAATTCATTAGAATAACGTAAAAGAAATTTACTAAACTTCTGCTGAGAAGAAATTAAGCCAATGTTATTAAGCCAACTGCCGCAGCTTTGAATGGAATCAGCGGTGTATTACAACAGCAAATCAATGGCCAAATGTCATAGTCAGCTTATCAGCCGCAGTCAAAGGAAATATGATACTAGCGCAAAAAAAAGCTCTTCTAATAGCTCTCTCGTTCAAACGAATGCGCCAATTCCTTCTTGGACTTGATATAATAGTCTATACCAATCATTGTCCTCTTTGCGGAACGCACAATAAAACTCTCTGCAACACATTGGCAAACAGAATTTCAATTTTATTGCAAAAGTAGAACATTATTAAAAGCATTCATATTAAAGGTAAAACTAACTGTTTGTCAGATCATTTATCTCGCTATCCAATTGAAATTCGATGATCCTGACCTCTTCGATCCAACTTATGATCTTGAAATTACACCGTCTTCTACTGATTCCACTGTGATTCGGTTACAGCCTTCCACAGCGACAGTGACCGCAGTTACAACCAGACTTCAGAGTAAAAGACAACAGCAACAAACACATACCCTGAAAGACACCTTTATTTAGCACAAATAAATCTGATATTACTCAATTCAAATCCGAGCAAGACAAAGATCTTAAAATCCAAAAATTTTCAAATTCTCAAATTGCCAAACTGTCAACCTTCACTACAGTGGCTCTACAGCTTTGGGAATACGTTGGAAGTACACAAGTTAAAGACATGATTGATATATATTGATGAAGAATGATAGATATTTTCACATCTTTAAAAGTCACAGTGTCCTTCTTCAACTATTTATATATCGAAAAAAAAATAAGAATAAGAAGAAAACGAAAGAGAAATTCACATGTGCAAATCTCGTGTGCGTTCAGTTCACTAAGAAGAAAAAGACTAAACATCACAACAGTCGATATACCAGTAGTGAACCGAATATATTCTTATTTTAACTCGAAGAAGTTGAATGATAACTTATTCAGAATAAGTGCACAGAGAGCGAGTTGAGAGATGTGAATAGAATCGTGCACTTGTTTTTAACTCAAATTCTAACTAATTTTGAGATGCATTGCATCATGTTCCCGAAGAGGAAACCGGGTAAAACGTGGTGAAATCAGAATCGTAACTGTCATAGGAAAATTCAGAGTTTTCTTGCCCATAAAAGTTGTTTTTTAGTGTTCTTATGGCAAAAAACGAGCTTTCATGAGATGAAAAATAAGATTTTTTACCTTTCTTAAAGCCAAGACCTTGACAAAGAAATTTTGGGCAGGGTTTTTTCTTGTCATTAGAGAATCTTTATGGCGAGACTTGGTTGCATCATGTTCTCGAAGGAAAATCTGACTAAAACATGGTGTAACCAAAATTTCAGCCACATTCCGGAACAGAATTGAAAAAATAGACTTAGGACGGATGAGTGAGTGAATTCTAGTAGCTTAAAACTACTGTAATTCATATTAAGTTTGAGGTTCGTTTATGATTTGACTAGTTTGCTAACAAAGTAATACTTCTTTTCTAAGCTGAACCAGGATCTCTATTAAAACCTCTTCCTGACGTGCATAAAGATTTTTCTATGCCGAAAGTTAATTACATCATGTTCTGGAAGAAAAGTCCGAGTAAAGCATCATGTAAGCGAGGCTGACAAAAGGATCCCAGCAACTGGAAGGCGTGTGTGAAATTAAGTATAACTTTCTTACAGCCAGCGCTTTCTGTTCAAATGTTCACTAATGGGCCAACTCAGCGTTTTAGTGTATCAGAGGCCCATGTTTAAAGAAAATTAACTAATAAATCATTATCTTTCGTGTCTGGCGCCGTTCCCACGGGTATCGCGCGTTTACTGAAAGCGCGTGTTCAGTCACCGAACATGTTTGGTCACCAAACGGTTCACTACTGAACATGTTCGCTGCCGATCAGTGCGCCCTAGCTTGGGATGGTTGCATGCCTGAGCTGGACTAAAGGCAAATTGAATGAAATTGAAGCTTTTGAAGAAAGTAACCAGTGAGAAAATAGATTAACTAAAGCACAATGTGAGCAAATGTGTCTTCTACCGGATCGCTATCGAACGTGTTCGGACGAAGATTGTAAATATGATAGTTTATATTTTTTCTCATCAGACACATTGACGAGCGCTCTGCTGATAAACTATTAGGACAAAGTACTATAAACCTTATAAAGATACATTTAAATTAGAGCTGCAACTGTCTGTCTACTTTTTTCTGCAGTGAGAAAAACCATTTTTGCATGAAAACAAAGTAAATCAATCTGCTATACTGAGGCCACGTTAGTAAGTAATTACAGAGTAAATCAGATATAATGGAAACTAAAGGTACTTTCAACTTCCTGGAATAAAGTAAACATAAATTTGCTGCTCTGATTCAAACTTTTCTTTACATGACTATCTACGGCTACTCCTCATCAAGGCTACTCCTCGGTTTGGCGTAATCTTCACCATTTTTTCTGTTTTACGAAGATTTCTTTCATGTGTTTCTTCGTTCTCATGTTCTTAGCTTTGACAAACTACTTTTTTTAAACCTTTGGTAGCGATTCAGTAGAAGTGACATTCGCTCACATTGTACTTTAGTCTATTTTCTCACTGGTTAGTTCCTTCAAAAGCTTCAATTTCATTCAATTTGCCTTTAGTTCAGATCAGGCATGCAACCATCCCAAGCTAGGGCTCGCTGATCGGCAGCGGACATGTTCAGTAGCGAACCGTTCGGTGACATACCGTTTGGTGACCGAACATGTTCGGTAACAAACCGTTCGGTGCCGATCAGCGATTCCTAGTTTGGGATCGGTGCATGCCTAAGCTTAATTTAAAACAAACCCGAGCTCTGTAGCCCTTTAGATAAAAAAGGCCCTTCGAATTTTTCTGGGACATTTTGGCAGCTATAACTCTAGAAGCCATGGGTCTTTTGGGCTGAAATTTGTACCACAACCGTTTTAGATCAACACTGCTCATACCACAAATTTACAGCGGACATTTCACGGAAAAAAAGAATTTCCCGTCCTGAGGGGTGGGGGGTGTAACGGCTCATCGCCATTACATTGTTCTCCATGCTTGATCTTATTGCAGTTTATAGAAATTCTTAAAACTTCGAAGTTTCGCGGGTTTTAGTAAGAGAGATAATAGAAGGAAGAAATTATGTATTAAATTACTAAATAATACAAGTCGTTTCCGGG